TATATTATACTTGCTGTTATGCTTAATTGATTATATTATTTGCTTGTGTGTTCATTTTTTGCCAGTGATGTTTTCTTTTTTTGCTTCTTGCATTGTACACTGGCTTCCCCCCCTTTTTTTTGCTGCTAAAATGCTCTCTACAACAAGCTAGACCTCAAACCAGTGTTCCCTCTAACCTGAGTTAGTGTGAGCTAGCTCAGTTTTTTTAGCATCCAGCTCACACATTTTTGTCTTAGCTCACGAAGGATGGCTCCAGAGCAAACTAATTTATGCAGTAGCCAAATCGCTCGCTCCCAATGTTAATGCCAGTAGCTCACAAAGTAGAATTTTTGCTCACAAGGCTCCACAGCTTAGAGGGAGCATTGCCCCAGACTCTATAAAGAAAACTATTCTAATTAATGCCATGCAGCTGCATGTTGGACGTCTCTTTCTTAAAGCTATAAACCATTAACAAGGTTGTTGTAGGCTGAACCTCTGTGTAATATTATCGTTTTTAAAATTCACTTGTAATTAATACAATATTTTAAAGAGATGAACTGGGCTCAATTTATACATTTGAAATGGATTTATACATTTTGAAATAATTGTGGAATCATTATCTTCAATGTCAAGAGTTATACCTTTAGGAATCAATCCAGAAACTTATCACTTCCTAAAAGAACTATTGGAACAATATTTAGTAAATACTAACTATGACATAGAATCATAGAATGTTAGAGTTGGAAGGGACCTTGCAGGTCATCTAGTCCAACTCCCTGCACTCTGCAGGAGCATAGCCGAAAGATAGCCCTACAACATACCCGAAAGATGGTCATCCAGCCTCCGCTTGAAAACGTCCATAGTCTCTACTAATCCAATCAAAATTTATATAGTTCCAATTATGATGAATCAAGTGATTCTTACTAAATGTCCTAGTCACTTATATTACAGTGTTTGCTTGCTTGTTGTATTTCCTATAAGAGAATTTGTGGCTGACCCAAGGTCACACCAGCAGCTGCATGTGGAGGAGTGGGGAATCAAACCTGGTTCTCTCAGATTAGAGTCTGCGCTCCTAACCACTACACCAACCACACTGTGTCAGCCATTTTGTGGTTGTGCTCACCACCTTATGTCAGAATTCCAAAGGTGCCCACAAACTCGAAAAGTTTGGGGACCCCTGGTCTAGTTGATTACAATACAGATTTGGTAGAGCAACGGAGGGGCTATGGGCACGTACACTGACCTTTAGCAAACACTTCCTTACCAGCTTGCTCAGGTGCCTCCTCTTGCAACGAGATGTAGTAAGCATCTTTTCCACCCCAGCACACAGCCAGCCCGACTACCAACAGGTCTTCAGTGCCTTCAATAGGAAACCCATCATCCTGATCCTGGGGAGTTTCTCCTATGAAAAATACAACAAAAACTTTGTCTGGGCCACAGATGTTTCAACCATTGAAAGCAAATCTTCTGTGCCTATCATCTTTAATCTCTGAAAAGGAGCTCTTTGCAAATGCCCATCACATATCCTCAGAAACGTGATCCAAGCTGCAACCAGGCCGAAAAGAAGCGCCAGTTGTGCCTGCCATTTCCTTCCCTACTCTATACCTCAGCCTACTTTATTTGCATCGCCTATCCATGTGCAGGGTGGCTTGAGAGCGTAAGAGAAGCCATGTTGGATCAGTTCAATGGCCCATCCAGTCCAACACTCTGTGTCTCACAGTGATCAAAACTCCAGGAGCCATCAGGAGGTCCACCAGTGGGGTCAGAACTCCAGAAGCCCTCCCACTATTGGCCCCCAAGCACCAAGAACACAGAGCATCACTTGCCCCAGGCACAGTGTTCCATCCCAGGGGTGGCCAAACTGCAGTTCGGGAGCCACATGCGGCTCTTTCACACAGTCTAATCTAATGTTAAGAAAAAAACAGATGTGCATATTTTCCAATAAAGATGTGTGTATAATATTTGTTCATGTCTTGAGGCTCTCAAACACCTGACATTTATTCTGTGTGGCTGTTACGTTAAGCAACTTTGGCCACCCCTGAATTCTAGACGTTGCAGCTAATAGTCACTGATGGACCTCTGCTCCATATGTTCATCCAATCCCCTTTTGAAGCTGTCTATGCTTGTAGCTGCCACCACTTCCCGAGGCAGTGAATTCCACATGTTAATTACTCTTTGGGTGAAGAAGTACTTCCCTTCATCTGAAGATACAATAGGAAAGTCCTGCCCCAAAGAGCCTGCAATCCACAAGTGAGATAGCAAAGTGAGAAGGGGGATATGGGGATAAACAGGGGAAACGTGGCCAAGTAGGAGGAAAGGATACTTGGGAGTTATCACCTTTACAGCCCTAGTCAAACTGGTGTCAACAAGGCCATTCATAGTACAGCTGTCAGTGAAAGGGAACCCAGAGATACTGGATGCCCATTTCCTCCATGAGTTTCCCAGGCTAGACTATCATATTCCCTTCAGAAGATAACAGACTGAGCACAACAACGTCATCATTTCCCCCACATTCATGAAGTGGCTTCCTTCTGGCTAAGCCACTGCAAAATGGTATAACCAAATGTGGGGAGAATTAAAACAGAAGATCGTACAATGACCCTCAGAGGTTTCTACACAACCAATGGGACCAATTCATCCAAACGTATCCAGAAAGCCACGGGGTCTCTGTCCCAGTCTATGTTTCTATGTTTGTAGCTGCCACCACTTCCTGCGGCAGTGAATTCCACGTGTTAATTACTCTTCAGTCTATCCAAATCTATCCCTCATCTCCAACACCAGGAACCAATGCAGACGAATTCCGCATTCGTTATCTGGTAGGAGCTGAAGCATCTCTGGAAAGGGCTCTCATTTGGCACTCCTCACCATTGATCCATCAACGGACACTCAACTGAACAAGTGCCTTTTACTAGAACAAACAGCTGGATTCTTTCTACAGGAAATTATTTTTTTTTTGCATTTTCCTTTCAAAATTGCCAACAAACCAATAAGTTCTCTTTCTTTAAATCCCTGACCTTCTGCCTCAATAGGACAAATCCAGAGAATAGACTATTTCTCTTTCCAAGCTTTCGATACTACCCATAACTGTGGGAACCCAGCGGGGGACTCACCTGCCTTAAGTTTCGTGCCAATACCCGATCGGAGAGCAAGGCAGCCTTTTCGTCTTTCACAAGCCACAGAGATAGCAGATTTCTTTTTCGTTCGCCACTCTTCGATGAAGGTTTGGAAGAGAGCCCGGGCATTTGCCACATCGATTATCGTGAAGCTATCGGCACTGCTTGACAGCGATGGAACGTTGTCTTGGGATAACTGTAATGAAAAGCCTTCGTCGATTATCGAATTGTCCTCCTCGAGTGAAACTTCACCCTGTTCTCCACTTGCTGGTTGATACTGTAAGGTGTCTTCTGGCATGTTCTGCAGGAGCTGGAGACATGGAACATCATTTGGGGGCTTTGCATTTCCTGGTTGTGTGTGCTTCACAAAGGGTTGCTCCAAACAATGAGACGTGGGCTCCATGAGGATAATTCGGGAAAGTAGCCCCTTGTTCCCATCTGTATCAGATATCCCCCCTCTGTTATCTAGCAAAGCTCCACAGGCCTTACTCTGAACAACCGCCCCTCTAGTCATGCACTTTCTGTTTAAGTCTTTGCAAGAGGATAACGAGTCCTGTCGATCACAGCAGAGGCCTGGAATGGTGGGAGAAGCCTGATTTTTCCTGGGGATTTCTCCCCTCAAACTGCTCCCTGGACCAAGCTCAGGTTTATCAATAGAGGGGCTGGGCCATCTATCCAAAACCTCTTGTAGTCCTGGACTTAAGTCAAATGACAAGCGGCTCTGAACCACTGGGACAATGTTTTTCTCTATACCATCGTTCGGGCGGTTTTCGGGTGCCCCTTTTCCGGCATCCACACCGGTTGTATCCCCATTCAGTTTTGTCACTTTCGTATAGACATCTCTCCAGACAGGAGGCACAGCTGCATTATCTAATCCGTCTGCGATGTGGAAAGAATCCGGGTCTGAGAAAAGAAGGGATTCATTGTCGCTGTACCCTACTGGGCCCTTAGCATCATCCAGGCTGGTGTGGGATACGCCCTTAGCTGACCCCAGGTTCTGTCCATGTGACTGTGAAGGGGTTGTTAAAGGGTGGGAGATGCCGTTCTGTTGTGGAAGAGCCCCTGCCACAATAACTTCATCCATATGAACATCCTGGGGGTCATTAAGGGGACCAAAGCTTCCGTCAAATAGAAAGCTGTCACTGTTATTCAGACTTGTCTTAGGCAAGGGATGGAATGCAGGAGCTCTGGTGAGAAGGTCCCGGTTGAGGGACGGGGAAGCTTCCACAGGAAGACCAGGAGACTCCTGCCTTTCTACTAGATTTGGTGTCTGATAACCTTGCAAGAAGCTGTATAACTGGGAGTCGGTGATAGAAAAGCTATTTCCTTCTAGGAAAGCTGGGATTTCCAGGTGTTTCTCAGAAGGCTTTACAGGAAAGGTCCCAGAGCTGACCACTTTTGTACATATTAAGTCGGTGTTTTCGGCTACATTGCTGCTCTCCGTGTGAGACGGCCCCGCTATCCTGTACGCTAGATTTTCCGTGGCACACACAGCGCCCGTTTTGGAACTATTAACGTGCCCTGGGCAAACGAAGCTTTTCTGTGCTGGGCTTGCCCTCTCTTTTACTCCTTGTTCACCAGCTGTTTCAGTGCTCGTCTGCTGTTGCAGTATCCTCTCTGTCTGAGTATCCAACTGGAAACTGTCTTCAAAGCCCAAATACAGGTCAGGGGAACCACAGTTTTTCAGACATTTGGTACCTTTCCAGCTATCATTGGAGTGTTTATCTACTACGCCCACATCTGCAGCTTGTGACAAGGTCCCAGTGGATCTTTCGGGGCTATTTTTATCCTTCTTTTGACAACTGCCAACGGCTGTCTGTTCACTTCTACCTGTGCCAGCGGCAACACTTGCTTCCTCAATACAAGCACCTCTGATTTGGTCTATTTTATTTTCCGGGTTTAAGTGAGCAGCACTGTTCTCACCTTGCTGGGCTTTGCTCCAGTTACCTTCCCATTTCAGTGTCGTATTCGATGTCGCTAGTTCTTCCATACCATCCATTCTACCTTTAACAGCAGGGGCATCTCCCACCACTGAGTTTGCAGTCGGTTTGACAGCGTGGCAATTGACTTTTAATGCATATTTCGATTTGGGGCTGTTTATAGGTTCGATAAACAACGCCTGTATGATCTTTCGGCTGTTTTGCTGGGTTTCATTTGCCCGTGCGGCTACTTTGTTAGCTCCTCCTGTATTATCTAACAGTGCTCTATCTACGCTCTGTGGATGCTTTTGTGAGGATGGAAAGGGCTTGTCGAGGTTTCTACACACGACTGACTCCTGAACCTGAGGCCTGCTCAGTTTAGCACTCGCTGTCCTGCTATTACTAAGCTGTAAAGGAATACCAACCCTTCTTTTATATTTCACTGCACTGCGAGGTTTCAAGGGGGGGCTTTTCCTCTGTTCCGCGCTTTTCACTGCTTCCCCTGACTCTGACTTTTGCGTCACAGCAATATCTGCTGTGTTTTCTTTGTCTTTGTCCAGATTCGGACGTTTCCTTGCGCTAGGGAGTGCATCAGTGTTTCCTGCCTCCGCCATAGCCCTGCCGACAGGAATCTCCAGAAGTCTCTCGCTCGCTGAACTTACATCCAAGAGCCTCTTGTTTCTAGGCTTGATACCGGATGATTTCCCACACTGAGAACTGGCATTTTTGCCAGGCAAATCTAGACTGTCCCTGTTCCTGACCGCTTGTGTGCCATTCGCTCTCCGTTTCTCCGCCTCCTCCAGCCTGCTGCTTATTATGGAAGCTGTGAAAGAGGCGTCTGGTAAGAGAGACGAATCGGGGTTCCACTGCACCCCCAGGGCGGCCAAGTCTTGCCTGAGCAGGGTCTGAGCCTCTTCCACAACAAGGTGGGCCGCTTCGCTCTCGGTTAAACCCTTCCAGCCAGCCATCCAGATGCAGGGAGCACTTAGGCGCTCCTCCGCTGCTTGGTCATCTTCGTCCACCGCCTTGCGAGAACTAAAGCAAGAGAACAAGCCAACGTTTACCATGTTTTCTAAAGTCATAAGGAAGTTGTATCCTACCATCTTTAAGGAGCACAGTTGACAGACATTACACACTCTTTATGAGGCAGTCTGGGATGTTTTCCACGCAGATGGGTCCCCCCGCTCCTGCATTTGTATTCCTCAGCCTCTTTCAGAGCCGGTTTGGTGTCGTGGTTAAGTGCGCGGACTCTAATCTGGGAGAACCGGGTTTGATTCCCCACTCCTCCACTTGCAGCTGCTGGTGTGACCTTGGGCCAGTCACAAGTTCTCTCAGAGCTGTTCTCTCAAGGGCATTTCTGGAAAGAGCTCTCTCAGCCCCACCTACCTCACAGGGTGCTTGTGAGGCAGCCTTGAGAAAGACAGGAGCGCTCCGTCTATGATTGTCAGCTGCTTAATGGGCTTTTTGTAGGACCAGCAACAAACATCAATTTAAACTTCAATGTAACCACAAAAGGAAACTTCCCCCTTTAGAAGACAGTCAAGCAAGGAGAAGTGGGCATACAATTCTAGAAACGCCTGATGGGGTTGATTGTGTAAAAAGGATGTAAATTGACTGGTAGCTATTAGATTGCACAAACTGATTATTACTGTTGATATTGCATGTAATGAATATATACCTGTTTTAGAATATTATGAATAATATACAATGCAGTTTATAAGATGGAACATATAGAACATTTTAACTTAAAAATAAGGTTTTTGCAGTGTATATATTTGTTTTCTGGCACCACAAGAGGGAGCAAACGGCATTTTTGCTCCTCGGACTGAAAATACCTCTGGGGAAACGAAAGAAAGGCGCGGAGGAATACAAATGCATGAGCGAGGAGACCCATTTGTGCAGAAAACGTCTGGCTTTTGACAGCTTAGCTTGACTGAGCTGCGTGTTCAATTGCTCGACATCCATGATCACTCAGCATTAGGTCATGAGAACGACAGAAAAAAACAGGAAATATGAGGCCATGGGACTGAGGCACAACAACACACACCACTGCTCATCCCTTCCAGTTAGGAGTTCACCAAGATGACAAGGAAGCATGACGAAAAAGGAGCAAATGCCCTGCCACGACAGTTTCTCCATCTTGCTCATGCCGAGACCAGGATCCAAGCACCACACCATCAGTACAGATATCTCCAGGCATTTGCCATGGAATTGAGAGATTTTAACCCATTATTCTAAAGTCGGACCTGACAAATATTCTTGCTAAGCAATGCTCCCTCTAAACTGTGGAGCCTTGTGAGCAAAAATTCTACTTTGTGAGCCACTGGCATTAAAGTTGGGAGCAAGCGATTTGCTTGCTGCATAAATTAGTTTGCTCTGGAGCCCTCCTTCCTGAGCTAAGACAAAAATGTGTGAGCCAGAGGCTAAAAAAACTGTGAGCTAGCTCACACAAACTCAGCTTAGGGGGAACACTGTAAGATGTAGATACAATCTTTTTTATTGACAGAAATCAGAAAACTTCACGTGAGAGCATCAGATGGCTGTCGGAGAACACAAGAAATTATCCCAGAGAGGAGAAACAAACGTTGTCTAAGCCAGGGATCCCCAACATGGTGCCCACGAGTATCATGCTACCTGCCAATACCTTTCCTGGTACCTGCCAAGTGTTTCAAAAAACTGAGCAGAGCCAGGCGGGGCTCAAAAAGCTCGGGGACCCCTGGTCTAAGCTATTTGCATGCAATTCTGAATGAGCCAGAATAAAAATTTAAGACTCTGAATTAAAAGAACAACTCTATATTTATGGGGGGCTAGAATCTGATTCTTTTCCTAAACCTCTTTTGCAAAGAAAAGCATCAGCTCTGTCCAAACGGTTTCTCACCTCCGGAATGGCGCTGCGTTCCTGAAAGCATTTTCCACGTCGGCGATGTTCCCTTTCGCCAGGTCAGCTACTGTGATGAACCCGGCCTGATAGAGCGCCCTGGCACACTGGGCGTTGAGCAGAGAGATCCGGACCAGGTCGCAGAGCTCTCTCTGGACCCCAAAGGTGAGGCGGCTCTGGAACTGAGAGAGCAACTGCTCCATGTTGTGCCAACCCAGCCGGTTGCAGAAAACTGTTATCATCCCTGGGAATATATCATATGGTAATGATTTTAGCTATTGTAACTGGTGATCCACATGGCAAAAAACACTGATTGACATCAATAGCTTGTTTGGTATAATGGCACGGACTCTAATCTGGGCGAATTCGGTTTGACCCCCCACTCCTCCACTGGCAGCTGCTGTCCTTGAAAGGGCAGTCCTCGAAAGTGCTCTCTCAGCCCCACCTACCTCACAGGGTGTCTGTTGTGGGGAGGGAAAGGGAAAGGAGTTTGTAAGCCACCCTGAGACTCCGAGTGAAGGGCGGGGTATAAATCCAAACTCTTCTTCTTCTTTGTGTGGTGGTGGAAAATGCCGACAAGTCACAGCCAAATTATGACGACCCCATAGAGTCTTCCAGGCAAGAGACGTTCAGAGGTGGTTTGCCAGAGCCTGCCTCTGCGTAGCAACCCTAGGCCTGGACTACCTTGGTAGTCTCCCATCCAAGTACTAACCAGCTTCTGAGATCTGATGTGACTGAGCTAGCCTGGGACATTTACTCTTTTTGTGTTCCTGTTACTCCATGAGACTAGTGCCGCTGTAGATTTGGAATTCGCCTCTTGCCTATTTGAAATGAGAGAGTTGTCATGTATGTTACCTACTGAAATCTGATAAAACCTTCCGATACCTGGGTCCAAGAGCAGCCAGCCCTTTTGCGGAAGCTGCTTCCCTAAAGCTGAGCTGTTCTGATCACCTCAACCGCAGTCAGAAACTGGAGTTACAGGATCGTTTGATGAAAGCTAATTCCTGCTTCCTGAACAGGCATTATCCACAGTGCTAACATCATATTGAAGAATCATGTTTTTATCCTGGCGCTCCTCCTCCGAGTCCTCCCTCCTTCCAATTTATCCTCACAACAACCCTGGAAGGTAGGTTAGGCTGAGACAGAGTGACTGAACCATAGTCACCCAGTGAAGAGAAGAAGGGAGAAGAAGACATTTGATTTATACCCTGCCCTTTGCTACCTAAAGGACTCTCAGAGCGGCTTACAATCTCCTTTCCCTTCCCCTCCCCACAACAGACACCCTGTGAGGTAGGTGAGGCTGAGAGAGTTCTGACAGAAACTGCCCTTAAGAGAACAGCTCTGAGAGAATTTGTGACAAGACCCAGGGTCACACCAGTAGCTGCATTTGTAGGAGTGGGGAATCAAACCTGGTTCTCCCGAATTAGAGCCCACGCTCTTAATCACTACACCAAACTGGCTTTCTGATGGAATGTATGATTACTTGCTTATTCCTAAGAAAAATTGCTTATTTTTTTTAAAAAGGTGCTCTTGGTGGCAACTGATCACACCTGTGAAATCTCTCTGAACTCCCAAAAAAAGTAGAAGGATTTGGTGGGGTTTCCAGGACTGTTGTGTGCATTTGCTTTTATTTATTTATATCCCGTGCCTCTCCCCAGCTGAGACTCAAAAGCAGCTTAGAGCATCGTTTTGTCCTTCCTCCTTTTCCTCACAACAATCCTGTGAGGGAAGCCAGGCCGAGAGTCTGTGATGGGCCTGAGGTCCCCCAGTGAGCTGCCACGGTGGAAGTGGGGATTCGAACCCAGGTCACCTGGGATCCTAGTTTCCCACTCTGTCCGCTAAACCACACTGCTGCACCCCTGGGAGTCCCTCCTGCTGCACCGAAAACGTGAGCATCTGGCAGAGAACCTGGAAAATATATTTCCTAAACACAAACATTTCTTGCTCGAGTTTTCAGAAGCGGACTTCGATTCCCATACGTTACGAAATAAAACTGTTCGGACGCCAACAATCAAAACATAATATCAGCAGCTCTTTACCTGCATAGGTAGCGGCAGATTGCTGTAAAGACTGAAGCTGCCCACGACTACAACTGTATTTCTTAGCCACGTCCTTCAAAGGAACCTCGTTTATTAAATCCAGAAGGGCAAGACTTGTGAAAAATCTGCATCGGCAAAAAAGGAAGACAAGCAGAGTCAACGACACTTCTCCATGCTGCAGAACAAGGAAGAACATCATCAGAAGCTGTTATACAGATAGATTCCCAAGACAAAAAGAGGAATGTTCATTGATTTTAATTGCAGTTAAAACAAGTGAAAACAGTTAGGCCAAACTAGCCTATCAAACATTGACTGCTTTCTGAGCACAGTAAGGAAGCGCAATGTAGGCAAATGCACCAGAACACGCACAAACTCATGCTTAACACACATTAAAGGCTTTAACAGATCACAAGGAGAGTAAAATAAATTTATATGTATATACACTCATACCATGATGGAGGGAAACTTAGTATAACAAGTTGTCTTATGGATTTACACTATGAGAATAAAGTTCTAAAACACAATATAAAATACATGACATAACAACACATAAGTCACAGGTGCCATACCACTCTAATAAAAGTCAGATGCTTCAGTGGTTGATGATGTTAAAATCAGTTTTCGTTAAAAAGACAAGATCTTTAAAATGTAGGATCCCGAGGACCCAGAACTACAGATAGACCCGGCTACAGATGGAAGGGACACAAGGGGGGGGGGGAACGTCCGCTGCCTCAACCAAAAGCCCGGCGGAAGAGCTCCGTCTTGCCGTCTTTCTTTCTCCGTCTTTCTTTCTCATGAACCAGATAACTTTTTTTTGGATTTGTGGTATTCTGAGAAAGCCCTCTGGCCAAATTCTGCACCAATAATGCACAGGTTCTATACCAAAAAAAATTATGCCAATAAGACCATGATCTTTCGTGCCACTCTGGTTATTCATACGGTAACTTGCTCAAAATGAACAAAGAGACTTAACATTAATTTTATAATATTTCAGGTATAAAGACCAAAGTAGACATCATAAAGTTTAAAAGGGGCAGGGGTCATTTCCTGCAGGAGCGCACAGGAGCAGAGCTCCGGCAGTAAAGAGCCCAGGGGGCGGGCACATGTAACAAGCCCCGCCCCCTGCTCCCAGCAGCCCTCACTCGGGCTACGAGGAACAAGAAGCAGCTAGGT